GAAGGCGGTCGATTGTGACAGTCGACCGCGCAAACCCTGCAGGCGATTCAACTCTCGGGATTTGGTTCGGTCGACCGTCGCGGTCGACTGTGGGTTTCTTGTAATCGATTTATTCTCTGTCGGGGGTATTCGGTCGACCTCCGCGGTCGACTGCGATACCTGCACGATCGATCATCACGGTCGACCACGTAGCGGATTTGCAGTTGGGTCGGTTATTTGACCCGGTTCATTTTGGAGCTGATATATAACTCTAATCCTGATTAGTTAGGGTTAATGCAAGGACGTTTTTTAGCAGTCTTTGGGAGAGGATTGCTGCATCCAATTGTGGGAGATTTGTGAAAAATCTAGAGCTTTGTTTTATGCTTTGATCGGTGAGATTTGTAACTCTATTTGTATTCTCTTGATTTCTAATAGGAAGAAATCTCCCCTCCTTGCCCAGTGGATGTAGGCAACTTACCAAACCACGTTAAACTCGTTGTCTTGCTGTGATATTGTGTTTGGCTTATTAGTTGTTATTTATCTTTTGTTCTTGTTCATGTCGATTCGAGGCTTTCGCCGCGCACAACATGGACCCAAGTAGATTAACCTAATCCATCTCATTTAATGCGTTTTACAACCCAACAAATTACCATCTGAGCTCATGCTTTGATGGATCTCTAGAAACCACATATGCTTCAAGACTATGTTAGCATGATTATAGCCTAGGCTAGAACTCGCACGATGTGTACATATCTGACATCTCTTAGTCCAACGCATGTAGACGTTCCATTGGGTGCATGCTCTCGCATTTGACTCCTTGTGTGAGTTTTTAGTCTATGTTTGCCAACTACAAAAGGAGACAAGTTTAAGACTAGTTTTCTTTATCAAGACCAAAGTTAGTCCAAGCAGGGGTGGCCTAAAAGAAAACTAATTAAAGGCTAAATTTTAAACTAAAAAATTTGGTTTAATTTTGGCCTAATTATTGTGAAACTATAAACTAGCTTTTGGACTGTTAAAGTAAGAGAGAGAGAGAATCTTGAGTAAATTTCCCTTAAGTTGAATATTGAGTGTGCACATATATTTATAGAAGTAGAGGAGTGTGAGGTTTGTTCTCCCAAGCAATGTGGGACTAAAACCCCACTACAATACACTAGTATCAACAACCCCCTTCAAACTCATGTTGGATCAAACAAAGTGAGTTTGCGTACAAGAAACTGGAACCGATGAACAAGTAAGGCCTTTGTGAAGAAATCTGCAAGCTCGTCAGCGGATGAAACATGAAAAAGTAGAATTGTCTTATCCTTGATAACTTAGTGACGGACAAAATGAGCGCCGATCTTAATATGTTTGGTCCTTTCATGAAATACTGGATTATTAGCAATCTGGATGGCACTCTTATTATCACAGTAGAGAGGAGTAGGAGTCGTAACAGAAATGTCGAAATCACTGAGAAGGCGACGAAGATGAATAATCTCTTTAGCTGTTGTGGACATTGCACGATACTCTGCCTCAGTACTGGAAAGAGCAATAACATCTTGTTTCTTACTTCGCCAGAAAATAAGGGAATTACCAAGAAATATACAATAACCTGCGGTAGACTTTCTGGTAGTTGGATCACCAGCCCAATCAGTATCAGAATATGCACAAAGCTCTAACTTAGATGTAGCAGGAAGCAAAAGAGAGCGAGTACTAGTACCCCGGAGGTACCGAAGAATCCATAATAAGACAGCATAGTGTACAGAACGTGGGGTACTAACAAATTGACTGACAATACTAATAGCATGAGAGATATCTGGTCGAGAGATGCACAAATAGACCAACTGACCAACAAGATGTCGATATCGGGTAGGATCAGATAGAGGCTCACCGTCAGTAGAGCAAAGTTTGACATTCTGCTGGAGTGGAGTATCGACAGTTGCATTGTCAGTTAGCTCAGCTTGATTTAGAATACCTGAGAGATACTTCTGTTAAGACAGTAATACACCCCGCAGGCCTTGAGAAATTTCTAGACCAAAAAAATACCTAAGAGATCCAAGATCCTTCATGTGGAACTGTTGTTGTAACTGAGATTTTGCATATTGTATACCTGCCATATCATCACCTGTAATGATCATATCATCTACATAGATGAGTAATAAAACTCTGCCACGCGATGTAGTGCGAACAAACAGAGAAGCATCTTGATGACTTTCTACAAAGCCCGCTTTGAGCACGACATCACGAAAACACTCAAACAAGCGCGGGGTGCCTGCTTGAGACCATAAACAGCACGGCGAAGGAGACATACATGTCCCGAAGGAATATTTAACCCTGGAGGCGGTTGCATATATACAGTCTTTGATAAAGAGCCATGAAGAAAAGTATTTTTGACATCCATCTGGTATAAGGGCTAACGATGAGTAGCAGCGACCGCAAGGAGAGTACGAACAGTGGGCATCTGAGCAACAGGAGCAAAGGTCTCCTCATAATCAATACCTTGTTGCTGAGTAAAACCTCGAGCCACTAAACGAGCTTTTCGATGTTCAATGGTGCCATCAGGACGAAACTTGACCTTATAAACCCATTTATTACCAACAAGAGAGATCCCAGGAGGATAGGGAATAACATCCCAGGTATGAGTTTGCTGAAAGGCTTGAAATTCCTCAGCCATAGCCTGTCGCCACTCTGGAATTTGAACTGCCTCTTGGAAGGACTTTGGCTCAATAATAGTATGAATGACAGCAAGAAAGTTATGAAAGATAGGTGAATAAGAAGTAACAGAAGCATGCCGGGCAGGCATGACATGTGGGCGTTTGTGTGACGCCCCTGGGTTCACACAAGGCTGCAGTCCAAGGTGAAACCAAGAATGTCAAACCTGCCATGCACCACACCGTGCAATAACATGTTTCACCATCACAATTAACATCTGTCTAGTAGAATCAATAACTGGTGTAGGTACAAAACAGGTAAAAGGTTATACAAGGAATACTGATGAAATGATAACAGTCACATAAATATCTCATCATCCAACAATACAGAAATACATAGCCAAAATCTGAGTAGATAAATCTGGAATACTCAACAAGTCTCATATACAAATGTCTGACAAGAAGGAAATAAGGCACATAGCCTTTACAACTTCTAGAACAATACTGTCAAATGTCTAATAAAAACTACAATGGAGCTCCAACATGAACAGAACTAGACAGCTAAACACTAAGGTGTGTCGCCATCAACCTGCGACTCTCCGGGCTCCTGGCTCGTTACCTGAAAGGGGGAGGGACAACGAGCGTCAAGCGCTAGCGAGCAACATCACAACCAACCCCAAGGGAATAGGGCTCGTTGTATAAGAAAATACAGTTATCACAAAACATATATATAGATATATATATATATAGGCAATTATCCTAGAAATGAACAATGGGCTTTAGTACTTAGGAAGTTTCAACACGGGCATAGGTACGTCGAGCGAAATAATCCAAACAAGGAAACCCTCATATATATACCTTGTATCCCAAATTGAAAATCCCTAAGTACCAAACCCGGAGTCTAATACGTGAACAGAAAATAAATAAAAGGAAAGACAACCCATCTCAGAACATAAGTAGAGTATCATGTGGTGTCCCATGCCATAAAATATCAAGTCGTATTCTACATAAGTGTCATTCCCAGTCTAGGTAGCTATCATGTCTTAACGGTATCAAAAAAAATCGTGTTCCAAAACTCAAATGTGTACCATGCTCAAGGTTTGGCAAAAATGTCCAACACATGGACTAAAAGTGATGTAGGTCCAACACATGGACTGAATAGAATGCATGTCCAACACATGGACCAAGATGGTAAGTATCCAACACATGGATCAGAATAATGTATTGTCCAACACGTAGACTATAAATGAAGGAAATGTAATTTATCACTTGCATACATGTAAAAATACACCAAATCTAAACCCGCACGCATCCCGATGTACATGTCTAAACTCATGTCAAAAGTCAACCCACATGCACAGATAAATCATTAACGTGATAAACTAGGGTCAGGTTACCGAGGCGACCCCGAAAGACAACTTAAACAGATCAAGAATCTGTAAAACAGCTCATCAGTCGACTGATGTGTCGACTGATGACGTCAGTCGACTCATACGTCGACTGATGGAGCTCAGACAGCACAGCCTCAGCTCGCCAGTCGACTGACCAGTCGACCGAGAAGCTGAGAAAGCAGAATCAGCCCGTCAGTCGACTGATCAGTCGACTGATGGCTGAACAATTTGCCCGTCGGTCGACTGATCAGTCGACCGACAGACTGCAGATAATCTGTACAGGTTCTTATATACCCAAAATTTGATCTAAACTCATCCCCATCAATTCCAAGCATGAATCATACGAATATTAACATGTATGGACTAACTGAAACATAACTTTCACATACATATACATGAATAAAACTCTAAACATAAGTATTTATGTTTTAAAAACACTTTTCAAAACAAAACCCATGTTAAATCTCTTTTAAAACATTTCAGATCTGGATTTTAAATTTACCAAACATTGGTAGGTTATTTATTATACTGAAAATGCACATCTTCATGTTACATGCAATAAAAATCCAATCTTTGTACTCAAAATACGTTTTAGGCCAAAGAGATCTCAATAAAACCATTTGAAAACGTTTAAAAAGAATGGGACAAGGTTGGGCGAGATGTTACTCGCCTCTGAGGTGATGAAGAGCTCCTGGATCTGAGGGGGAGTGATTCCTTTCGCTGCAAACTGAAGATCCCGACGAAAATCCTCCAATTTCGCCCCAAAATCACCAAGAACTATCCTAGGGTTTGAGAGAGAAGAGAGGGGGCTAGGGTTTCTCTGGTCTGAAGAGGAGAGGGGATGATTTCGGGTGAAGGAGATTATATATGAACCCTTAAACCCGACCCAAACCCGAATCAAAACAAAACAGACCCGAAACCTGTAAAAACTGGAAATCAGCGCATCAGTCGACTGATGTGTCGACTGATACAGTCAGTCGACTGATGTGTCGACTGATCTGGACATTTTCAGTTTTTGTGCATGTTTTGCTTATTTGCAAAACCAACACACAAAACTCTACACCCATACTCTCATATCATCTCAAATAACTTGTTATCATGTACATCAATGACCTCAAGCTATTTATTAACTAAGAATTATTTATTTACTAATAATTCATATATATTCATATATAAAAATTTACGGGGTTCTACATTCTTCCCCCCTTAGAAGAATTTCGTCCTCGAAATTCGGAAACTATATGCATCTCACAACGTGAACTTCCAAATAAACATATAGAGATATTTATACTTAACGCTCTAAAATGGTAACACTCCCGCTCAAATCTTAATCTAGTGGAACTAGTACATCGGGTGAAAAATCCAAACAAGGAACCCCCCATATATATACCGTGTGTTCCGAAAGATTAAGAATTAAGCGAGAATATTCTCATACTAGTGTTAAATGCAAATATAACCAAATGTCCAAATATCATATAAGATACATACCATAAGGTACTTGTCAGAAAATTTATTTACCTGATCAAACAAATGTGGGTAGTCGCGTCGCATGCCCTCCTCGCGCTCCCAAGAAGCTTCCTCAACTCCACTTCGGTTCCATTGAACTTTCACCAATGGAATCACCTTGTTCCTGAGCCTCTTGTCCTCTCTAGCAAGTATAGACACTGGGATCTCAATAGTAGTCAAATCATCTCGAAGCTCAATCTCCGGTGCATCCAACACTCGCTGCTGCTCCTCATCATGCAAGTGCTTCTTGAGCATAGAGATATGGAATACATTGTGTACACTAGACATAGATGCTGGAAGATCTAGTCTGTATGACACCGCTCCAATGCGCTCCAAAATCCTGAAAGGTCCAATATATCTCGGCGCAAGCTTCCCTCGCCTCCCGAATCGCTGCACGCCTTTCATAGGCGATACCTTCAGCATAACCAAATCCCCAATCTGAAACTCTAGGGGTCTTCGTCTCTTATCTGCATAACTCTTCTGCCGGCTCTGAGCGGCTAGAATCCGCTCTCTGATCAATGCTACCTTCTCGGTAGTCTGCCTCACAAGCTCTGGCCCAAGCATCAAGCTGTCCTCTGGCTCTGCCCAACATATCGGTGATCTACAGGGTCTCCCGTACAATGCCTCATACGGAGCCATCCCGATCGTCGCTTGATAACTGTTGTTATAAGCGAATTCTACCAATGGAATATGATCCTCCCAGCTGCCTTGGAAGTCAATGACACATGCCCGCAACATGTCCTCCAACACCTGATTCACCCTCTCCGTCTGACCATCCGTCTGTGGGTGAAAGACACTGCTATAAGATAGCCCGCTGCCAAATGAGTCCTGGAAGCTCCTCCAAAAGTGTGAAGTGAACACCGATCCCCGATCCGACACGATCGAATCTGGAACTCCGTGAAGTCGAACTATCTCCCGAATGAAGATCCCCGCATATGCCTCGGCTGTATAAGTGGTCCTCACCGGAATAAAATGCGCTGACTTCGTCAACCGGTCCACTATCACCCAAACAGAATCATTCCCCTTCTTCGACTTCGGCAACCCCACAATAAAATCCATAGAAATGTCTGCCCACTTCCACTCTGGAATGGGTAAAGGCTGAAGTGTCCCTGCCGGTCTCTGGTGTTCTGCCTTCACCTACTGACAGGTAAAACATCTAGCTACATACTCTGCAATCTCTCTCCGCATACCACTCCACCAGAAATGTCTTTTCAGGTCCTTGTACATCTTGGTAGTACCTGGATGTACTGTGTACCGAGTGCGGTGTGCCTCATCAAATAACTCTCTCTTCAGCTCTGCACTGGCTGGCATAACCAATCTACCCTTCATCCGTAGACCTCCATCTGCTCCAATGATCCAATCAGCCTTAGGCTCCTTGGAGATCTCCTCCTTTCGGATTTGAATCCAAGAGTCTCCCAACTGAGCTCTGACAACTCTGTCACTCCAAGATAGCTGCACTAACATAGCTCCCAAAAATACATTGGTTCCTCCAATCTCGGGTCTAAAATCAAACTGGCTAAGAGTGATAAGATCCCGATGCAATGAACACCTCAAAGCTGAAATCTGATGTCGACGCTTCCTGCTTAATGCATCAATCCACCTCCTCTGCCTCTGATTAAGTTCCTTCTGAGAAAAGAGATACTTCAGACTCTGATGGTCTATGAATAGCTCAAACTGCACTCCATACAAGTAGTGTCTCCATGACTTTAATGCAAATACCACTGCCGCCAACTCCAAGTCATGAGTGGGATAGTTCTGCTCATGTACCCTCAACTGCCGTGAGATATAAGCTACTACCCTCTGAGTCTGTATCAATACCCCCCTAAGCCGGCCAACGACGCATCAGTATACACGACAAAGGTCCTATCGCTGCTCGAAATGGTCAAAACCGGCGTCGTGGTCAGCTTGGCTTTCAAGATATCAAAAGCCTCCTGGCACTCCTTACTCCATATGAACTGTACACCCTTCTTCGTAAGGTGTGTAATCGGTGTCGAAATCTTCGAGAAGTCCTGAATGAACTTCCTGTAGTAACCAGCCAAACCCAAAAAGCTGCGAATCTCTGTCACCGTCTTCGGTGGCTCCCAATCAAGAACTGCCGTGACCTTAGCCGGGTCCACTGCTATACCCTCTCGACTGAT